CCGGCTTCCCGGGTGCTTCTCCCGGCCCGCTCCCGATCCAATTATTGGAGTGGGGTCCCCATACCAGACCTGGAGATGACTTCGAAGATTCTTAGAAAACACCTGAAGTTTGACATGGGGCACCTATGGAATTAGATTATTATTTAGTTCACTTATCTTTCAAAGTGGTAGCTCCTCGTTGCGGCACTCATCGGGGTCATCCCATTAACAGGGGTGGGAGGGGACTTCTCCCACAACATACGCTTTCAAGTGAGACATCGCTGGGTCTGGCCCTTCACTCCTTAGCTGTCTGGAATGGTGTAAGTCCGATTTAGCACCTGTAGAAGAGTAGGACTGGTTGTACGTTACGACGAAGTAGTTCAACAACGTTGGAATATATTTAACAACCAGTGAAACACAGAGCCAAGACTTCATCGGGGTATATCTGAACACAGCGTTTTGTGTAGCCTTTACTTAAGATACCCAAGCTGTTCCAGGCTGAAGGCTTATGCTCACCGCCGTCCTCAGTTACACTAACTTATACAGTGAGTTTCAGAGTCCCAACGCAGGATTTAGAACTGGTAATATGCATTCATGTGATGTTGCGACTAATTATCACCTAAAGGCTCTATCGGAAATGATTACTTTCCGTCCAGTGACAAGTAGAAATTCTTTTGGTCTTTCTCAACTGGATTTTCATTCCAACTGAGGCGGATGTGTCTCGGGCAGCTCTGCAGTGTAACGATTGCCGCTGGTCGCGATAGAAATCCCACTCCGATGCTGGAGGAGAATGCACAATGCATGCACTTCGTTAATGTTAGACAGGGGGATTATTCTCCAAAACTTGGAATTTAACCACTAGCGAGGTAGCTAGTTAGTAGCCTGAGCCACAGTAGACAGAGTAGGCCAATCTCGACAATAACGGAACACGGCTGTTGAATCCCAACGAATGAAATTTCTGATTTCAAGCTGAGTGTTTGCTGGTGACACAATCAAGTCGCTCAGTGAGCCAGTCCTTGTGCATTGAAACTGTGCTGTTGCACATGGAGTGTGTGCATATGACTGTTCCCGAGATATTATTTCCTCAAATCCCAAATATTCAGTATGCACCATGATGGCTTGTGTTGGCATCTGCATAACTATCACAGCATGGTAGTTGATCCTGTCTATTTGCTACTGGGCTGATCCGGTGTGATATGTATATCCTCTTCCCGATGCAGAAGGACTTTCTTTTACCGGACATCCCGAATGCAGTCAGTATACGCTAATCTGGGAATATGGGTCAATAAATCTGTCTAAATATACAACAGTCCCTTAAATACGGCTTGGTCCTCAATACCGCACTGGAATCACCAAACTGCTGCGGCACCCTTCCTCCCATTCTGGCATAGTTTTGTACTCATCATGGGCATCCAACGTGGAAGCCAGGCAGCACAGGCTGGTCCCTCCAGCACTATCAACCCATTGTTACAGGAGTTTGGATCGCTTCAAGTACTTGACGACTTGATTCGCTTACGAGCCGCTGATGTCGTTCAATATCCCATTCTTGCCTATCCCCGTTTCGACAACGACGCAGCTTCCTATGAATACTATACGGGGATCCAATTGGATGCTATGATAAACCAAGCTGCCATTATGCTCATGGATGATGGATTCAAACAGGTTAGTCATGAAGTGCTCTATGATCTTAACACCCTAACAAATAAATGTTTAGTCAACACAAACTCCATCCATCGTGGCACTTCTTACTTTGTCGGACCTTAACATGGTGATCACCTTCTTTGCCCTAAGTCGACTGGGCTATACTGTCATGATGCTCTCACCAAGGCTCTCGGGCGAAGCCTGCGTATCGTTGCTAGAAACGGTCAACTGCGAGTCAATCGTTTATGGCCAATCCCCTAATATCCGCTCAGCATTAGGCGAGATTCTTCGCCGGAGATTAGTGACATGCCGCCCACTGATCTCATGTTCTTTATATAACAAACTACAAACGCCATCACTCGTTCTCCAACGCAATCGAAACCCTGAAAAGGTCGCCTTGATCCTTCATTCCTCGGGATCAACAGGCACCCCAAAACCGCTCTTCCTCACACACAAAGCGATCATGACTCACCCACTGAGAGGTCCTGGGCTCACTTCTTTTAATACCCTGCCATGGTATCACCTCCACGGGCTGTCCACCGCATTGCAGGCAATGTGGATGAGAAAGACAGCCTATATGTGGAATGCTGCGCTGCCTTTGACTGCAGAATTTGTTGCCACAGCCCTCGAAGAAGCTAGACCAGAGTCTGTAGCAGCGGTTCCTTATATGCTCCAAATTTTGGTTGATGATCCCCGCGGTATCACAGCGCTAAGACAATGCAAGTTGGTTACCTACGGAGGTGCGCCCTGTCCGGATGAGCTGGGCGATCGCCTAGTAAGCGAAGGAGTACACTTTGGAGGTTCATTCGGCCTGTAAGTACTATTTTGCAGACATCCACAACGACGCAAAGTCTAACAAATCTCAGCACCGAGGCTGGCCTTGTTGCAGAATCAATCTCACGACCCAAGGGTGACCCTTATTGGAACTATGTGAAATTCTTCGACAATATCCGATCATACGTCTGGATGAAGCCCATCTCTGAATCAGAATCGCTTTTTGAGTGCGTTTATCTTGCTGGTCATCCGGCACTAACAACCTCGAATTCAAACGAGCCTTCAGGATCCTTCCATTCAAAAGACGTGTTCACCCCTCATCCTACAATTGCCGGAAGGTGGAAATATATTTCACGATTGGACGATCGAATCAACCTAGTGAATGGTGAAAAGGTTTTACCTCTCCCGATTGAAGGTCATATCAAACAACACCCTTTTATCCATGATGCAGTTGTAGTCGGGGTAGGCAAAGCTGCTCCAGGGCTATTAATCTTGCGAGCAGATGAACCTGAAGCCAACCGTCTGTCAAACGACAAATATCTCAATGCAATCTGGCCGACTATTCAAGAAGCCAATTTCCAGGCTGAGGCTTTCTCTCAAATCTCCCGCAATCTGGTCGCTATATTGCCACATGATGCCAAGTTTCCTCGGACGGACAAGGGGTCCATGATCCGAGCACAGGTCTATCAAGAATATAGTGAGCTTATCGAAGGCCTTTACACCGAGAAGGAACAGATATATGGGAATCTTCAGCTTGACTTTGTGGAAACAGAACGCATTCTTCTTCAAATAGCACAGCAAGAACTTGAAATATCCGTCTCTGGTGTCGACGCCAATTTCTTCTCTGAGGGGTTTGATAGCCTGAAGGCAATCCACTTCCGGCGTCTCATTCTTCAGCATTTCAAGTTTGAGATGAACCATATTCCTGGCCCAAACGCCATATTTGAAGCAGGTTGTATATCACAGTTGGCTCGGCATATCTGTGCTTTACAAGAAGGGGAGACGTTGGAAGACGCCGAGAGTGATGTATCTGTGATGACTGGATTGATCGAGAAGTACTCCGTTTTTGGAAGGCACATGCCCCAACCACATGCTTTCTCAGGGCCGAACAGTGTGGTTAGTGACTATTTACTGTCGGAGGTTAGAACCAGAAGCTAACATCGCCAAGCTTTTAACAGGAGCCACAGGGTCAATTGGAGTCCATGTGCTATACGAGCTACTCAATGACGACTCAATCTCCACAGTGTACTGTCTCACACGACGAGAATCACCACTGGAAGCAATACTGCGCACTCTAACCGCCAAAGATCTTTTCATATCCCCCGAACAGAAAACAAAGATCGTCGCCTTTAACAGCCGTCTCGACCAGCCCAATTTCGGCCTATCTCTGGATGAAAGCACAATTACACACATGCTTGACTCACTTTCGCTCATCATTCACACGGCGTGGCCCGTCAACTTCAATCTCCCCTTAACCGAATTCGAGCCACACATCCAGGGACTATACAATTTGATCCAATTATCCCTATCAGTGCATAGACGCGAGCCTGCCGTCATGATGTTCTGCTCGTCAGTCTCCACCGCACTCGGATCTCGAGCAGCCGAGGTCCTCGAAGAACCAGTCGACTTGGATAGCGCCTTCATGGGTTACGGACAGTCCAAGTTAATTGGGGAGCGGATTGTGAGCAATGCGCGACGTAGTGGAGCAAGGGCCTATTCTCTTCGGATTGGCCAGGTTTCCGGTCACTCGAAGAAGGGCCTTTGGAATGACTCCGAAGCTCTGCCGTTGATGATCCGGTCGGTGCTGACACTGGGTGCACTACCTGAGCTATCGCAGACGTGTTCTTGGCTTCCGGTGGATAAGCTTGCGTCTAGTATTCTTGAACTAGCCGGGACTTGTGCTACCCCGAGTGTGTTTGGCGAAGGTCAGGCGTCCAGCTCGGCTTTGGTGGAGTATGTTGATGACTCGATTTTCAATTTGTGTAATTCTTACGAATTCACCTGGTCGTCTTTGCTGCATACTTTGAAGAATTCTGGTTTCCGATTTGATGTCGTGTCTTTTGAAGAGTGGTTGCTGAGACTTCATCAGAGTGAGACGAGGGGGGAGGAACTTGTCAATCCGGCGGTCAAGCTCATTCATCATTATGAGACGATGCATGGGAAGAAATCATTTTTGATGCAGAATGGGCCTAAAAAGTTTAATACGGAGAAAGCAGAGAGGAGTAGTGTGACTTTGCGAAATGGCCGATTGAGAATTATTGAGGATGGAATCCTGAGATGCTATGCTCAGGATTGGTTGGCGAGGTGGACGGCCTAGGGAGTGAAGTGTTCAAATTGGGGCGCGAAACCGTGATTTTGGGGATAGATCGTGTTTGTATATATGGAGTATAGAGGAAAATATCAGTAATGTTTCGAGGAAAGAATTCTTCATTAACTAGTTACGCTTCCTTTTGCGTGCATAGAGGCAAAAAAAACAGACTGAATACAGACTGAATCCAAACAAAACCAAGCATTCTACGGCCATCTCTAGGGCCTACTGTACAATTAACCAAATAAAATCCACCGCCAAATCTGGACCAGTTTCAAACGCAATATATCACTGATATTCAAACCAAGAAGGCAACAATGACTCCAAGGAAGAGAGTCGACATACTCATGGACAATCGATCAGCGGCACCGGTAAAGACAGGGCTGGCTCCAGATTCAGAGCCGGTAGGAACATAGAAGGCCGAGGTAGCCGAGGTAGCCTGCTGCGCGGATGCATCAGAAGTGGCAGGGATCTGAGCCCTGGAAGGCTCGTAAGGAACGTCGGAGACAACGGCAGAGGGGATGGCAGAAGGTGCCCATGAATTACCGAAACTCTCAGTGGCGACGGAGGTGGGTTCAGCTGCAACGGGCGTGGCAACAGGAATGGATGCATGCTTCGATTGGGTGTGACCGTGACTGTGACCATGACCATGACCGTGACCAGCTGAGACTGATGCGACGCTGGAGGGGAACACAGGAGAGGCAGAGGTGTGTGCCTCCGGATCTTGGCCGTGGGCTGGGACTTGGACAGGTTGCACAGCTGGAGCAGTGACCGTGGCTGGCACGGAGGAGTGCGCGGCAATAGTGGAGGACTTTTCGGCCTCGGGGCAGATAGTTTCAGTTGCAGTAACTATAGAGGTGATTGTGCTAGTCTTCTTGCCAGAAGGCTGCTCGACTGCTTGGGTGGCAGAGCTTTCGACAGTAGCTGCAACAGTAGGAACAGACGCAGTAGTCAGTTCCTGGACCGCTCCAGCGGTTTGATCTTCCTTGGAAGCAACTGAATGCACAGCAGTAGCAGTAGTAGCAGTGTGAGTAGCGTGGGTCTCAGCAGTTATCTTCGAAGCCACAGGAGCAGCAGCAGTCGTGGCCGGCTCGGGCTCCGATGATGAAACCGAGGCAATTCCCTTCACACCAGCCTGGTAGATCTTGACGGAGTTGATTTCCCAGTAAGTCTCCTTGAACTGAGCCGGGTTGTTGGCGACGTAGTTGTGGCAGCTCTGGAAGGAATCGCCGCCGGTCATGGGGCAACCAGAGTCACCGTACACACCACCTGCCCAATCTCCACAGAAGGTGACATCGAAAACAAACGACTGGGACTTGAAGGCGGTGGCAACGTCGCACGATTCCTGCACCAGGGCCATCGGCGTACCGAATTCCGTTACATCGGGCTTGCCGCTAGTAATCGAGGCCGGGATGGAGCTTCGGGGGAAGAACCAAATCTTGAGGAAATCGTCGGTCCACTGCAGCGTATACAAACCACCGTTTTGTTTGTTGAAGGATGTGCCATAGCTCCCCTCGTGACCCTCGATCTTGCAACCGACGGTACCAAGATCCTCACCACAGCCTGTAGCGTTGACGGAACCGGTCATATCCGTATCTGTCAAACTGCAAGTACCGGCTGTGTGCATGACAATTTCGTTGTGATCCGCCATGTTGACACCCTCGATGATATCAATCTCACCGTCTGCCGGCCAATTCTTTCCGACAGACCAGAAGGCAGGCCAGGTACCGCAGGTGCTACCAGGCATGTGGGCGATATCGGCGATGACCAGAGATTGGTCGTAGTATTTCTTGCTGCCAATACGCACCGAATCACGGCCCTTCTTGCCGTTGGCGTCCAGCTTGGTGGCATGGTCGACACCCAGATACACACTACCACTGTCGGTGACCTTGACGAGGCCTGAACTTTCGGCGGTCTCCTTGTCGAGATAGTTAACGAAGCCGTTGGTCGGGTCAGAACCAACGTGGAAATTGAAATAATCCAGGAAATTCTTCCCCTGCCAATTTTCCACCAGGGAGTAAGTTGTGGCTGCCACGGGGGAACATAACAAAGCGAGCATCAGCGATCCAGCGCTCAATGAATGTGTTGAAGAGACCATCTTGTCTGGAGATGTATAACAAGACCAGATACTAGTGGGATACTCCAGAAAGCAAATATGAGAAGAAAGAGTGTGAAAATGCAGATATAAAACAGAAAAATAACTAAAAGAAAGACTGACAATCCCAGATTGTCAACAAGGAGAAAAGAATGTGAGCGTGTCCAACGTATCGAAGGTGGGAAGTATTTGACCCAAATACCTTTCACCAGCCGCACCATCCCAAATTGCTAAAAGACTGGAGGATCAATTTCTTTTTCCATCCAGTAACAATGCACCGGTGCCTGACACCTTTGACTAGGGTAAGTAGATGTCTGTAATAGGCTGCAACTCCGGAGTCAAGAAACCCCGTGGCGCTCTAGCCCAGGAGTCCAAGCCCACTCATGATGATCCATTCTTCAAAGTAACAAGCCAAACAATAGAAAAAAGGATTGACTGGTGGCTGTCACGGCGGTTAACAGTTAGTTTGTAAGGGGGTGCGTTAACCTGAAACCCCTAAAGTCCACTGGAGGGGTAACCCAAACATATGGTGAAACAGAGAAATATTTGCATTTGAACAAAGAGCATAGAGAAAGATTAGAAAAGAAGAGTATAGAGATTATCACATCTTCCAACTCTATCATTATTTCGATTCTCTTCATCATCACATACCAAGTCGAAATGAGATCAAAATGAGATCAAAACTGGGACGATGTTATGATCGGAGTTGCCGCTCTCTCCACTTTTGCATTGGTTGAGCTGTCTTGGCCTCTTAGCGCCTAGGTCTAGACTGTCCAGGACTGTTTCGATTGTATTTTGTTCAAATTATCAGAATATGCTTGTGATAATTGGACTAAGCCAAAGACATCACATTCCCCCTCCCGAGGAATGTCGCCACAACACAGATGACAACATCGTCCACGAGAAATTAGCCACCGGATTGTTGTCGCTTTGCTTATATATACTCTAAGAGTATAGATGGTGTTCGTAGCCATCCCACATCAATACCTATCCAGTGTTAGGATAGCAGATTGTAAGCATTAGGTATCTTTGGTATGACGATTCTATACAGAAGGTACATAAACACAACATATTCAAAGCCTCATGGCCCCAATCTTTGCCCCTTAAAGTAGTTAGAGAGAATACAGAAAGACATCTACGATGTGAATCAATCTCAATCACATAGTATCAACCTTAGTAAGTGTTATCAAGGATCAAGCAGGGATATTTATGTGTGGTGTTTTTTAAGTTGCTATATAAACTTTCATGTCGTATATTTAGAATTAATCTTTGTAGCAGATCGGTTAAACCAGCTTTGTGTCAGATCTATAGTTTTTCATCCTTGAGCTAGCTTGAGAGTTGATATTATCCTTGCGTTGTGTTTTATGTACCCTCTGTATGGCCCACCTACGCCCCCGTGGGTCCTTGGAAGACCTAAATTTGAAGAATATGCACATTCCTCCATATTCAATTCCTCAAATACTAGCATATATTGCTTGTAGCAAACTTCACATTGTTCCATTGCTCTACTCATCTCCAGTGCTGATAGCACTTCGTGTGTTCAAGACCTACTCGGTGTACCGTTCCTCTTGGTAACGCAGTTGAAAATGTTGTACGGAAAGGTCTTGTTTCAGTGCAGATAACACATCCAGGTCTCGTACATATAAATCAGAAAGAACTTAGAAATTTTCTTCTCGCAGCCGAGTCTATTCTTCCGAGTCCCGTACTATGTACATACCTTGGCAGATGAGAGGCTCTCTTCGTATTTCGTTCCTCGCTTTATTATTAGAAACTACAAGCTGCTAGTTATATCTCGTACTCGTTATGTTTCCCGCTTCGGGAGAACCACAACTCCTCTGATTGGACAAGGAGCAACGAACTGCTTGGGTGGATCTGAGCAAAGAGAAACTAAACTGCAGGAAGCTTGATCCTATTTTGTTCTTCTCGGATAATTCGTATCTTATACCCAAATGAACTAGTTTTCTTATTTTTTTCTCTTTTCGACTGTTAACAAAAAGGGATCCCCAATTATGGGCCAAGGCAGAGAAAAATCAGCACGCCGTATATACTAATATTAAATGATCGGCCAAGATGAAAAGATATTTAAATAGCGACTTTCTTCTCATATTTTGAGATCGACCTCTTCACTGAATCCTGATTACAGACGGACTTTTCACTCCTTGCCGTCTTCAGACAGCGTTGCCTGTCTTTCTCGAATTCTACGATTTTCACTCCTTTCCATCTTCAAACGGCGTTGCGTATCTTTTTCGAATCCTACGACTTTTCAAGACCAACCATCCTGCGGTTTAGGCTAGCTCATCATGTCCGAGTTCAAATTGTACCATTATAACCCGTCTGTTAGTTCTGCTGTCGCCTTTGCGGCAGTCTTTGGACTCACTACCGTCATACACATCTGGCAATTAGGCCGGAACCGAACCTGGTACTTCATACCATTTGTTATTGGCGGTTTATGTGTGTCTTCCTTTTACGTTTTCTTTATCCCCTTTGAAACTATGCTAATCGTTGTGAACTATTTCCAGTTGAGGCCTTGGGTTACTTAGCGAGATATGCCAGCGCAGAGGAAGCCCCGGATTTCACCACCAAGCCATATATTGCACAGAGCTTAATGCTCTTGTTAGCGCCTGCATTCTTTGCGGCTTCGATATACATGATTCTCGGTCGTATCATTCGTTTGCTAAACGGGGCCTCGTGTTCACTGGTCAGGCCATCATGGTTGACCAAGATATTTGTGACGGGTGATGTGTTGTCATTTTTCATTCAGAGTGGAGGTATGTTACTTGGATTTACTACATCATGCAATGTCACTAACGTTATTCCTCTCTTATAGGAGGTGGAATTCTCGCTACCGCGAAGGACCAGTCGAAAGTAAAACTCGGGAACAACATGATTGTCGTCGGACTCTTCGTTCAAATTCTATTCTTCGGGTTCTTTATCGTTGTTTCCGTGGTTTTTCATCGCCGCATGCTAGCTACGCCTATGCATGCTGCGGGCGACACTCGAATTCCCTGGACCCGTTATATGAAGGTTCTCTATACTGCCAGTGTCCTGGTCCTCATCCGATCAATCTACAGAGTGGCAGAATATGTCCAGGGAAGTGGTGGATTCCTTCAAAGCAAAGAGGCATTCATATACGTATTTGATGCGGCCTTGATGTTCGTTTGCTGTCTGCTTTTCAACTTCTTCCATCCGAGCAAGATCCTCGTGGGCTATCGCAAAACCCAGGGAGATCCGGATCTAGAAATGTTGAATCATGGCGGACTTACCGAATATACAGGGCAAGGCAGATACAATAACTTCCAATGAATAGGGGTTTTTTTTATCACGTTTTCCTTTGTACAATAGACAGCTGTTACTCAATGACAATTTTGTTGGAAATAAATACCATCTTCAAGAGGTTTGTATCTAGGTATCCAGATAGAAATCTTAGAAAGTTGCAAATATTAATGGTAGATAGAACTATGTTATTCCCAGTGCTTTCAGCATTCATTGTCCGATCATGATTATGGTGTGACGTTATAAACCCGGGCTTCTCTGCCGCTAGTATGTCGCCTTCGTACGTTTTAATAATAGCCACCAGCTTTACAAGACCTAGAACCTCAATTTCATCTTTGTAACGGTTTGAAACTTAACCATTATCTCAACCCATGATGTCAAGCCTGGGGGAAGCCAAAGATACCGACTTATCTGTTGAAGACGAAGTAAGCTCGAGGCGTGGCTATACAGCGTGAGCTGAATGTTCTCATTTTCATTTTATATCCGTTACTAATAATTTTCAGTGTTCTTACCAGTTCCAAAATATCCAAAAAGGCCAAGCGTAATGCTTTAGACCTTCTCAACGATGAGCTTGACGGGGATACACCCCGGCATTACCTTGATGAGGTTCCGGATCAGAGTAAAGAACAGGAAAAGTAAGAGATCCGCGCGTATAATTATTGAACCAATTGCTAACAATAATTCATCTAGAACTGATCACAAATCTCCGGACAACACTCTAAGCGAAAGTGACTAGGCAGAGAGGTTCAATCATTATCCAGGAGAGGAATTCAATTACATTCACGAGTTTGCATATTCTGCAGGCTGCAAGTTGGCTCCATTGTAGGCCAAAATAAATGAAATTTCTATGTTGATGTAGCTCCTTTTCTATTTATCTACTCCAATGGCGCAGTCAGCATGCTTTCCTCCTCCGGCCACTTTCGGAACAGATCTTGAAGACGATCCAGAGGAGCCGTGATCAGGTCGGCTACAGTCTCAAAGCGCAAGTTGTCCAAGTCATATGGATGCGAGCGAGAAGGTACGAACATCTTGGTGCGGTCGAGAGATTCACCCAGCCCCTCGCTCTCATCAAAAGTGAGGGTCTCCTCCAATATGACCAGGTCATTTGCCTCTTCGTCGCGCATATGCCGGGCAAGACCTTCCATCAGCATCGTAATTGTAGGGAAGAAGCGTGGATCAGAAGATCTCAGGTCTTGGAAAACGTATAGCATCTCTTTGAGCTATAATACATTAGCATTGCTCTCTATTTAAGATGTGAACACTTACCGCTGAATGCTCACGCCGATCATCATCTATCTTCTCCTTGCCGTCAGATCGAACTTTTTCCAATGCAGGAAACACTACTAGCTCCTCGGCGATGGCGTGTCGAGCAAGTTCCCAGGTAAACTGATTCTGAAACCGGGTTTGTTCGTCTTCATCTTCGGAGTTGACGATGATGTTGTAGTAAGATTCCAGTCTCCGATGATCATCTTTGATTGCTTCGCTTATTCGAACCATGTTGACTTACTATTGTGAACAACCTTGAAAGTTCATCTTAACATTTATTTTGTTGCCGCACATGTTTTCTGGTCTGAAGTTATTATGACGTTTCAACGGTTCTACAGTAAACCCGACATTCACAGCGTCTCGTGGAACGAAATTCCGAAGTGTACAACTCCGAATATCAAATATCGCCTGACGTTACTCTGGGGATAACATGATCGAATCCGAAATTCTTGAAAACCCCTAAGAATATGCTATTTCCCCCTGGCCCTATCACTTGCATCTACAGTTGCCTAATATGACACCCGAAGTGCGGTATTTATTTATTTGCTGCAGGGGGCCCGACGGCCTAACGGCGTATGCATTGCCTTGGCCTTGTGAACATCTTTCGCGTTCGGCCTTTTTTTTTTTTTTTTCTCTGGCTCATCACCTCCACTTCTGCCATGAATCAATATTCTCAGTGGCAGATATAGCAACGGAGAAACCCCCAGAATGCCGAGTCAGGGCCAGCGGTTATCTAGGTAGAGCCTTTAGGGTTGATTCTCAAGTCTTGGTCAAGGCTGATAGAATATACAGAGAACAGATTCCCTGTGATCCGCCTATGTACGGGCAGATGAAGGGTGGACTTTGCGGTCGCATCTCCCAGTGGCTATGGTCTGGATGGCGGGGTACCGCATTTGAGGCTTCCCCGGATTTGAACAGGCCATACCAGCTAAATCCGGGGGACTGCAAAGCCTGTCGTGAACAACGGATTACTTGTGACCATACACGACCTCAGTGTTCTCATTGTTGGTCGGAACAGCTCTTGTGCTTCTATGTGGACCCGGAACAGAAGAAACAGAAAGGTCATCGGAAGCCAACTGTTCGTGAAGTGGAAACGGTTTCCAGATTGACCAAAGACACGACGGTGTGACTAGGATTGTTCTCAGTGCTCTCATTTCCATTTTCGGGATTATATATGAATTATGGCTCTGGTGTTATTGTTGTTGTTGTTGTTGTTTTTTCGATTTCATCATGGTCGCAGGTCTAGCGTCTCAAGGCTATCAAAGCCCTACATGTTTTTGCCGCCATTGTTGCATTTTTGCATTCCTGCATTCTTGCCCTTTTTTTCCTTTAGAAACTCACATTTCAAGAGTTGATTTGGATTCCAGTCTCATTTACCAAAATCAAATGATGTCCTTGTGAAGCTCACGAAGTGTAAGCGGGTGTAACGCCGGAGAATTGTGCCCCGATATGATTTTGCCGTCATAATCCACATCTGTATCAACACCTCTAGGTTTCCCCCCTTTTGATTGACTTACCCCAAAAAGCACTTGCGGGGATCCCAATAGAGGAGGAGTTCCGAGTCGACACAACTACAAACCAGCGGTACAACACCGAGGGCCACTGTGTTGCTTCGGAACACTGTGACCCGGCACCCGCTCCACCAACACATACATAACTTAGCCCTGCGCTTCTATTAAACCATTTGAACAATACCTGGACAGCTGCTGAATCCGCTCTTCGCCATTTGCGCAGCATGATCCGTTGATTGTCACCAGCCGTGGTTGAGGCATCTACTTCAGTTTGCGTCACTATAAGATATATCCATGTGTGATTGATTCAAGGTAAATTTCCATCTAGGCCTTCATACTAGTCAATCTAACTTCGATGTACAGATGGAATCCGAGTACCGGCGACTGGCGGATGTCATCCGCAACCAGGCCGAAGCTCATCCCAAATTACGCTTCCTAGTTGCCATCGCAGGTATCCCCGGTTCAGGAAAGACTACCACAGCCGAGGCAGTAGTGCGACAGTTGAATCAGAGCTCAACTTCCCGCGCTGCCTTGCTCTCCATGGATGGCTTTCATCTTTCTCGGGCAGCTTTGGATCAGCTACCCAACCCCAGGGAGGCACATATCCGTCGTGGGGCTCCGTGGACATTCGACGTGAGCCGCTTTGTAGCCTTTATCTCTCGGCTCCGCACCTGGGCCGACAAAACACCGCTGGCACCTCCTTATTCTGGGACATGGTTACCAGAGGATGTCATTCGCGCGCCGACATTCGATCACAAAGCGAAAGATCCTGTCGAGAATGGGATTTCTATTACGCCAGATGCAGAAATCATTATCGTCGAGGGTAACTACCTGCTTCTTGATGATCCAGGCTGGCGTGAACTTGCTGAACTTGTCGACTATCGCGTCTTCGTCGATTCCGATCCGCTAGAAGCAAGGAGCCGGTTGGCCGAGCGTCACCTACGGGCTGGTATTGAGAAAACGCTAGAAGATGGATATCGCCGGGTGGATAGTAATGACTTCTTGAATGGGGTCTCTATTCGAGATAAATTATTGGCGCCAGATATGGTTGTGAAAAGTGTGACGGTGGATGGTATATGATATATATTGAGACTCTATGTAAATATATATATATATACATAGTCAAGCAAGGTATTTGAAAAACCGAGCAAACATCCATCCATTCCGTTACTCCTTACTCATATACCGTCTGCTTGTGGAATACATCTACGTATATTTGTCAGTAAAAAGAGCCAGCAGACCAGCATACTAAACTCACTCGGAATGTCCGGCATCCAGCTCGCCCGTGCCTTGCAAAAGAACTCTCCCTTTGGGGGTAATGCTTCTGGGTCGTCTAAAGATCCGACACAGATGTAGCGAAAACAGTCTTTGGCAGCATCCTGATTCTGTGTTAGAATGCCCTTGTACTTATTGTATAAAGTTAACATACCCCATATTCCAGGATAAAACTACCGCAATTTTGACAAAATTCTCGATGAATCACAGCTCCAGATCCGTTATCTGCGACATGTTCTTTTGGTATCCCTTTGGTGAGATTAAACGTGTCCTTTGGGACTTTGGCTGTCAGGCCATAATTAGTTCCAAAAGCTTTCTGTACAATGATTTCAGATTTAACGAAATGACATTTCCCATTCATCTTTGAGTATATATACCTTGCAGTTGCGGCAATGACAGAGAGATGTTCTCGCATCGTCAATCGAAGCGAGCTTTAGCTCGTATTCGATATTCCGGCAAATACATGACCCTGTGAGAGTGGGCATCTTGGAGTATTGTATCACTTCAGTGTTTGATATTCGTAGAATATAACAACGATGACGTCATTGGTACTTAGAGGCGAATGCTCTTCAAGAATGTCAAGAATTTCAAGGAAGAAGACAAATTTTATATGAACATTATTGCCAGTAAATGAGTTCTTGCCAATGCGATAATGCGATGATGCGATGGTGACGACGTTGCGGATATCCCGCAGCCGAAACTCTGAGCTTATGTTTATCTTCTCCCTGACTATTTCTAGACCTCCAACAAGAGCAATATGAACCAGAGCAACCCCGAGTTCAAGCAGAGATCAGTGGTATCCTCTTTTGTCTGCTCAGATGCAGGAGTAACTCAAGTTGCTCTATTTCGGCGAAGTCAGAAAGTCAGCACATACCAGTATGTATCCAAGAACCCCGCTTTACTGTCAACAGCCCGGTGTCCATATTGACCGACTTCTCAAGGCACCACCTCGCTCCCATCTCCGGCAGTATAGAGAGTCATGAAATACCAGAAACAGCAGCATGGCGCGAATTGAAAGAGGAGACTACTCTCACCCCACGAGATATTGATCTTTGGCGAAAGGGAAAACCATACACCTTCAGTGAGCCTTCTGTCGGTCGGCAGTGGACCGTTTTCCCATTCCTATTTCGACTCAAGGACTCTAGTGAAGGTGGTCGCGGGGAGGAGGGTATCCAAATTGACTGGGAGCATGAAAACTGGGAGTGGTACAGTCCCCATACAATCCAAGATGATGAGAAATTCGGTGGCGTACCACGTCTGAAAGAAAGCCTGCGACGAGTCTGGTTCGAAAGCGACATGAACGAGGGCGCTAGCAACGCACTCACAGTGGGTCTGGGTGAACTGAAGGCAGATCATCAGAGTGGATCGCACGAGTTGACCTCGATTGCGCTGAGGGCCTTCCGGGACGTTATTGCACAGATGAAGGAGGACATTGACTCAAAGTGGTGGGAAACTGCTCGAATGGCTGCTTGGCATCTGTGGAAAAATGGACGAGAAAGCATGGGCGCTGCCACCTTGAATGCATTTCTCGGATTGCTGGCCGACATGGAAGAGATCGTACATGACACCCTCGACCGCAATATCACATGGGAGCGCTTGTTGGCTTTGCTCGACCACCATTTGGACAAGCGCAAGGAGATGCCCAAGCGTATAAAACGCTCCTTTGCGACCTACCTCGAATGCAACTTCCTGTCTAAAGCAATCTCATCGCCTGCGCCCTCTCTCGTCATACTCACCTTTTCCGCGAGCTCTACCATCCGGGATAGCATTCTGGAGGCCTTCGCATCCCTCCCAATTACTAATCTAGACCTCAGGATATTGGAATCCCGTCCGCTGTGCGAAGGAGTCAATATGGCATCTTCGATCCTCTCTGCCTTTCAATCAAGGTTCCCCCCGTCTTCCGATCGACATCTGAAACTCACTGTGTACTCCGATGCATCCGCCGCTCTCGCCAGCAAGGACGTGGATTTCGTCCTGCTTGGATCAGACCGGATCTCGGATTCAGGCTCAGTGAGCAATAAAACTGGATCTTTGCCAGCTGTTCTGAGTGCCAGGCATGTTTGTCCTACCGCCAAAGTTTTGGTTGTCAGTGAGCTGGAGAAGGTGGCTGAGCCTGGTGCTGAGAGCGATCATAGCCACGAAGAGAATGATCCTAAAGAGCTGGTGGGCTGCTGGGTTGACGGCGGCATCAAAGGAGTGAAGATTCTTGCCGAGGGAATTGAGGCCGATCGAGACAACACCAACTATGCAGTCGAAGTTAAGAATATCTACTTCGAATGGGTTCCGGCTGGACTCATAGATGCGTATATCTGCGAGGAGGGAACTTTAGACGCCATTGCTATTCAACAGAAGGCTCAGCAGGTGAAGCAGAAGGCCGACAGATACTTTAGTCAACTCTAGCTGGAAATTCTATTCTTCATTCCAGATTACTTCTGCTTTTACAACATAGTAGTACTCTCCGGAATGACGTCACAGTTTGACACCTGAATGGAATAAAATTTGGTTTCGATTGTAGATCTACCTAGCATGGTTTTGGGATATTGATGCTGCTTCTCAAACTCTTTCCAAATGTCGGAAGTGCTCAACACAGGAATCCACACCTTCAGTGTTCCGGCAAAAGAGTTGATATTTGACTATGTCGTGCATCGTCCATGCACCGAAAACGAAGATCCACACAATCTAATTGTTGTTCAACCCCCTGGCTGGGGCTTAGGATCCCAATATCTTGAAAAAGGACTCCAAGAGTTATGGAGTCCGCGAGACCACACCAGAACCGCAAATACCAACGGTTATACTGTCATCTTTTTCCATTCTCGTGGAACGGATGGATCATCCAGACCACTAGCATCCCAGATGAGCACCATGCCCGATCTTGCGTCAGACTTGGAGGATCTCCGCCAGCACCTGCATCTGGAACGATATCCAGTTTTACTAGGTCACTCGAACGGCGGAGCGATTGCGCTAGGGTACGCAGAGATGTATCCCAGTCGTGTTAGCAAGCTCGTTCTCCTCGATCACCAGCTAGTGGGATTTCAGGATAAGAGATTGTTGCAACTCGAAGCGACGCGCATAGATCCTCGGTACCAGGATGCTTGGGATAGTGTGATGAATCGACAGATTGGATCCGACGAGGAATTTACAGAGTCTGTGCGAGACATGTGGCCTTTGTATTTCTTTGATCCTCAGCAGTACGTACCAGAGCTACTGCGTGATATTGGTGATCGCAAGTTGTCAGTTTGGTGCTACCAAGCCCAGGGTCGATGTGATAAGGAATTGATGGATCCAATGCAAATGGTGGAGAGACTTGGTGATGTTCAGGCAGAAACACTCATCATATTCGGCCGTGAAGATATGATCTGTGGAATAGGGATTGCGGAACGGACAGCAGAGAATATTCGAAATGCCCGAGTGATTACCTACGGCGAGTGTGGTCATTTCCCTTGGATTGAGAAAAGGGGACGGACCATATTGGATATCCGTAAATTCATTAAGGAAGACTAGCATATCTCTCACATTAGAAACCAAACAGATAAACGTTAATAGCCTGCTACTGTGCATTGATTAAACTAAATGTATCATTGTCCATACAGTAAATCACACGCTAAGGCAGGAACCAAATATCTCCAAAGGCTTGCCAAAGAAGACGAAAAAAGAAAAAGAAAAACATCAACAGTCCGACCAAGACGCCAGGGTAGAGGACAGGATCGTTAAAGACCCCTACCCCAATAGAGCAAATCAACAAAATATATTCAAGAATGGAAAAGAGGTATCATGTATCATCATAATCAGGCGTCACGAACACGCGCCTGTCGCTTTGCGGTGCCAATGTGGGTGTTGTGTACTTTGGTGGCGAACTTCAAGCTAGTCAAGGTCTCCGACATGTGGGCCTGGAGAGGACTGACCATAACGAACATGAGAGTCTTAGAGTTTCCACCCAAGGAGAATTGGAGCAAGTAGGTGAGCTAGAGAGTGAGTTAGTACCAAGCGAAGAAATAACTGTGAAAGAAACATACCTTGCTGTTCCGGTATGGGATGTGACCTCCCTCTTTTCCTTGGCCGAGAGCAGAAATCACATCGCCTAGAGAACTGAGACTACGGTTGATGTTTTGGGTCTCTTTCAGACGCTCGCCAGTCGCTCCACTGTGGCTCAGACGTTCGCTTCCTGCCAAGTCAACGAGGTTCAGCGTGCCTTCGCTGCGTTCTCCAGTGATGTGGTTCTGGCCGGTGAGCTTGAGAATGAAGACAGAGTGAGACCGCGAGGAGCGCTCGTTGGCCTTGGTTGCTGCTACCGAGCGGTTGGCATCAGCATTCTTGAGAATGGTCTTAACCATCTCGGGGGAGTCTAGGTCGACAGTTGTAATGTCGGTGATAGTAGTCTTGCCCCGCTGCATGTCATGGCGAATCTCATGCTTCTTCTTATCTAATTCATCCGGGTTGCCCAAAAGATCATTGAGGTTCTCGTTGTAAACTTCGACAAAGTTACCGGCCATTGAGTACCGCCAGCCCTTCTCTTCCAGACCTTGCGCGGTCTCGTAAATCTGGTGAACAGCACGAGGGATCATGCCGTCGGCCGATGACATTGTGTGCGTCTTGCCACTACCAGTTTGGCCATAACAGAAAATGCAAACATTGTAGCCATCCAGCGCGCTCTGCACAAGCTGGCTAATCTCATCAAAAACCTCAGCGTTCTGGGTGGATGGATTGAATACACGATCAAACGAGAAGGTGTTGTTCTTCCGGTTAACTGTTCCAAGGCTGCTCCTCTCTTCAGGGCCAAGGATATTAATCTCCTTCCCATCGTCGGTTTCATCGGGATACTGCATGAGAGTGAGATCGGAGGCAGGTTCACTATTAAGTGAGGGGCGAACTCGGCAGAACACGCGAATGTTGCCTTTGAGCTCTTGCACTTGGTTATGAAGTTTGCGCCGGAGTGTTTCTTCCCTGCGCAGCTTCTCTTTTATTGCCTCTGTCTCGGCAAATGCATCCATCATCTGCTGGTTGCACCGCTCAAAAGATTTGGACTGTTCCTCCCGTCCACTTTCAAGGAACTCAATGCGTGCCTTAAGAGCACGAACTGATGATTCCAGTGTAACACTGTTGCTGCTTGTGGTATCCAGATTGAGTTTGAGTTCGTGCACAATTCTTCGTTCGCGATCGAGTTCCGCCTTCAGGGTCTGTAGCCCATCATGCAATGTCGTAATTTCGCGGTCCTTCCTTTCCAGTTCAATTTGGGACTTCTGGGTATCAAGTGCGGATTGGGAAGTGAGTTTCCCGAGCGCGCTTAGTCGAGCTGCTTTTTCGTCTTCAATCTCACGATCGAATCTTCGCTTCAGGTCGCGAACTTCCTCTTGATGTCGGTCAGTGATTGTGGTAATTTCTCTTCCGTTTTGCTGTTGGACCGAATCCAGTTCAATACGCTGGCGCTGGCAAAGATCATCCATGGCGATTTCATACTCTCGCTTGTCCTCTTTACGCGCCTGCTCTGCCGTATGTAGCTGGTTTCGCAGTGAATCTAATTCCACGCGCTGGGTAATATTGAGTTCTTTCAACTCATCCCGAGAGGCTTCGAGCTCGTTGACTGGACGAAGAGGTTAGATCGGTTTAAATATAGCCCTTATCTGACTAAACTTACTCCTTGACTTGTACAAATCAACAGTCTCCTTGAGACCAGAGCTTGCTTGACCTTGTTGGTTTACCTGGGCCATAAAAGTCTGCATCAATCCCTCCATGCTCTTTTCGCGAGAGGCTTGATCCCATTCCGGGCCTGTTATATTGTCAAAACTTCTGATCGAAGAACCTTTGGTCAAAAACGCGGGGTGTGAGGGTTTCTTGACAATGCGCCGCTGGGAATGTGATGGGGTCCTGGAGGGTGCGGTAGGGGCGGTAAAAAAAGACGAGGAAGAGGAGGGCTGGGCATATCCGAGTGACTTTGGGGTGGTAACGGTGGAAACATTCCGAAATGGGGTACTGGGCAACACGGGAATAGTTGCTTGGCTGGAAGGACTTGGAAAAGAGACAGGTTTCTCAGACAGAGAGAGCGCCGCCAATTCGCCAACCCCATTCCAACCTTCATCCAATCCGGGGGACACAGTTCCAACGGGGCAAGAGGGGATACAACTGGGAGATAAGGGAAATTGTGGCATACCCTTACGTTTTCCTAGCACACTGGGAGAGACGTCTTCCATATGGGTATCCAACGCGCTCGCTGCGCGCGGAATCGATGCGCCAACGGGTCTGCGGCCGTTGAAGGATGATTGATGCCGGGACATGGCCGATGCTGGGCGCGTGCCGGGGCCGACGGTTGAGGAAAAGGTGCCATTGGCTGCGCGAGATGCAGGAGCGGTCGGCCGGGACATGGTGGAAGATGAGTACGAGTTGCCCCGGCTATGCGCCCTGGTTGTAGTACTAGGCTGTCGGGTGACGGATCCAGGTCTCTTCGTTTCCGGGTTTGCGGTTTTCGGACGGGTTGCTTCCGGCGCTGTCAGTTCATGTTGCGCCAACGAGTCAGGGTCTTCCATACGCGACATGCTCATAGCCTTGTTTGCGATTGTACCTGGCGCCATGATGCCAGAGCGCGAGTTGGTCGTCGCGGAGGTGGCCTCCCGTAGGCCGGCCTGTGGTAGGCGCGTCCGAGTAGACGACCTGGTTCTGGTCTGAAGATGGTCAGTCATGCGCCCATATCCTCTAGTGTAACAGAAACTCAAAGTGGGGTATTCACTATGTTTTCACCCTCCATATTGGGATTTGTTGACCGCCAGGTTACCGGCGAATAGAGTATCCGGGCGAGAAGGAGGAGCTCACGTCCAGCCACTGTATGTGTTGGCCGCTAAGACTTCAAGTTAGCGAGTTGAGATAAAACTAGCAGGTAGAAGGCATACCAATAGATGGTCTGGGCAGTAACCTTTGAAGTATGAGCATCAAATGAGCGCAAACTGGTTTCTGGAGGGACGAAATGCAAAGTAAACAAAGAATTGCTGACTCAGGCAGGTGTATGACGCTAATCCAAATTCGGCAATGGCATCAATCGTGTTGTATTGGTATTACCAAAGAGCGGTATTTGAAAGTAACACGTGATCGTTCCAGGGCCACAGATGAAAGGCTTCAATGTCCAAAATGAAAGAAGGACACACAAAGATCAGATAGTACAATGCCCTAAAGACGTTTCCTGCTGTCCTTTGTTAACTCCTTTTGAAGGTGTTCCAAGATTAGTTGGCAATTCGTGGGGCGCCTTTGCCTCCACTCGAATTCCCGAAACAGCGGCAGCCCCAGTAGCCCCGTTGCTTGAGCTTCTCCAACGTCTCTTTCACCTACTCCTTTTTCCTTGCTCTACTTTTTTGTTTGCTCAACATTTTCATTTGAATACTTGGTAATCATGTCCGGGCGTTTTGTTCGTTCCTCCA